CGTTGGCAAGCACACACACCCCACTGTAAATTAAAAGAAAAAGAAAAACAAACACAAACTGGGCCGTTTCCTACCTGAGTCTTTTTTTAAAAAAAATACATACATCTTAAAAAATAAATTCATTAAAAATAAATAAATACAATTATTTATTTAATTTTATTTATTATTATTATTTTTGAATTTGTTAAAGGGCACGTGTGCTCACCAGAGAGAGTGGGAAAGTGAGGAAGCAAGCTGCCAGGCCTGGGACTCGAGCTGAGGTCGGCCATGTGGCAGTCCAGTGCCCTAACCACCAGGCCACCTGCCGGCCTCACTACCTCTGACTCTAACTAGCTGAACAAGACGTTCAACCTGTCCGTGACTCAATGTCCTTCCCTGTGACATGAGCACAACAGTATAATGGCACCCAGCACCCACGCACGTGACGAGGCTGAAATGAACGTCTATGGGTGTACCTGCAGGTCTACACCTGCGCCTGGCCGGGCAGTGAGCACTGCAGAAACATGGCCCCGTATTACCCCACTGTTTGCATGTGAGGGGTCCCTGGAACCGAACCACGTACCGAGGGAGGGGGTAAGAGAAACAGCTCGGAGCCGGCAGGAGAAAGGCTGGACGATCGTGAGGCTGAGCCACATCCTCCCCGAGGCTGGGGCAGAGGTAGAGGAGAGCAGGGGCCCCTGGCCCAGCGCGGTCAAGTTCGAGCCTGCCCGGGCGCCGTTTCACGGCATGACCTTAGTAACCAGCACCTCTGAGCCTCAGTCCTCCAGGCTGGAACGTGGTGGAGGACACCCCACCCCAGCCCACGTGCACCAGCCTCCATGCCGCCTCCCGACTCGGCCTCGCACATGCTGGTCCCGCTCTTCCTAGCGCCTCTCACCCTCTGACTTTGCCACGTCCTCAGCGCAGCCATCGGGGACGACCTGGCGTAAGGCACAGCCCCGTCACTGCCCCCCCCGGCCCTCTCGGCCCTGGCACCCTGGCCCGCTGGCATAGACGGCTCTGTCGTCAGGGCTGTTGTGTGTCGTGGACTGTCACACAGTCATGTGGCACTCGTCTGCACAGCACAGACGTGGCCAGCCCCTGTGCGACCACCCAAACGTCTCCAGACGTTGCCACGTGTCCTCGAGGTGGGGTGGGACGGAACCTACCCCAGGAGAGACGCGCTGCCCTCCCCCTGATCTCGCTGTGCTTTCCACCCCCGCCCCTTTTGCCATAGGGTGTATGTGCTCCCCTGGAGAGAGAGACAGAGACAGAGAGAGAGAAAGTGAGAAATCGCCCCTTGAGAGGGGAAGGCCACACTGCAATCTCTTCTCCTCCCTTCTCCTCCACACGCACATGTGCTGCGCGATGTTCTTTTTCTTTCCCTTTTTATTTTTGGGAGAGGTTTTTGCTATATGTACTTACCAGAAACAGAGACAGAGAGACAGAAAGCGAGAAATCACCCCCCAAGGGGGATGGCCACACCTCAATCCCTTCTCCTCCATTCTCCTCTCGGGATCTTGGGCACGCACATGCACCTGGCCTAAGTTTTTTTTGTTTTGTTTTTGTTTTGTTTTTTTTTTGAGAGGTTTTTGCTATAGGGCGCGTGTGCTCTCCAGAAAGACAGAGAGAGACAGAGAGACAGAAAGTGAGAAATCACTCCCTAGGGGGGATGGCCATGCTGCAATCCCTTCTCCTCCATTCTCTTCTTGGGCACACATACAACATACTCCCAGCGTGAGTTTAAGCCACCGGGTCCAGGACTCGAACTGCAGTCGACTACATGGGAGTCCAGCGACATAGCCATTACGCTAACTGCTGGTTCCCCCTGGTGTGAGTTTTAAGCCTCCAGGTCCAGGACTTGAGCTGCGGTCGACTACATGGGAGTCCAACAATGTACCTATTATGCCAACTGCTGATCCCACCGCTTTCCAATTCTTGATCCTCAGAGCAGAGGCCACGAGGCGTCGAGGGAACAGCTGGGAGTTAGGACATTGGCTCCTCACCCCAACAAGACAGTGAGGGGTTGCACGACCCGGGGATGCCTCGGCTTCCTGGCCTAGCAAATGGGGTGGGCATCTCCATCCCCCCAGCCCCACTACAGGGGCCAGATGGGCTGATGGGTGGCAGGGGTCCCGCCACCCCAAACTCCCGCAGCTGTCCTCGTCACCACTGTCACCACCTCTAAGCTGTCAGCCGGACGGCTGTGGGGCCTGGGCACGAGCCACTCCGCACGTCCTGCTCTGCATGTCCCTGCCACCCCTCCCCCAGGCGGGCAGGCTCTGGGAGGGACACGCGGGTGGCCTGGCCTGCTCAGTGAGTCTGCGGCCGGGCGCTGAGCCGCCTGGCAGGCGTGGCCCGGGCTCTCCTCGGGCCGCTCTGGGCGTGACCCGGCAGGGCCATTTAATGTCGATGTTTGTTTAACCAGGAAATGAACTCCAAGGTTGACGGCAGTGTCCAGGGACACACTTCTGGGAACGGGGTTCCTCCCAGGAGCGTGGGGGCTGGGGGCACCAGGGCCTGCAGCTATGACGTTTCTCAGGCGAGGCCGTGGCTTTCTTCCCAGACCCTAGGCAAGCAGGCTGGTTTGACGTTGGCCATTCCGGGTCCAGGGAGGATGGGAAGGGCTAGTCCTTCCTCCAGGGAACCTCGGGGTGAGACAGGGGTCCCAGAGTCAGGTGCCCCGGCCCTCTGTCTCCATGCCTCAGTTTCCCCAGCTGTAAAATGCAGGTACTTGGCCTGAAAACAGCTCTCAAAATGTGGTCAGAGCCTTCGGGGCTCTGTAACATACGCCTTGTCCAACCTCAAATATCCGTGACCCCAGATGCTCCTCCCCGAAGTTGACCAAAACTTCCAACAACGCTGAGCACAGGGGCGGGTGGGGGAGCCCGGCCATCTGCCACTCAGTCTGCGATCAACCACACCGTGCAAATGTAAAAGCATGGGGACCAGCAGACGGTGCGATGATTACGTCGCTGGACTCCCATGCAGTCTGTGGTTCAAGTCCCAGACCCGGCAGCTAAAACTCACCCCGGGAGGGACCAGCAGATGGCGTAATGGATATGTCTGTGGACTCTCACGTTGTCGACCACAGTTCAAGTCCCAGACCCGGTGGCTTAAAAGTCACACGTAGGGGGTAATTCTTGCTTTCTGTCTTTCTCTGTCCCTCTGGCAAGTGCACATGCACTATAGCAAAAATCTTAAAAAGACCATCACTTCTCTTTCTTGCTTATTTTAGAAAATAGAGGTATTTTTCATAAAAAAAAAAACCCCTGCTATTTATGTGAACATGATAGGCTTATCATTATGTTAAAATGAATTAGAAGTTAGACATTTAGACCAGCAGTTAGTGTAATGGCTATGTTGCTGAACTCCCATGTAGCCAACTGTGGTTTGAGTCCCGGACCCGGGGGCTTAAACTCACGCCGGGCGCGTGTGCATGTGTGCCCAAGAT